TTTAATTCTTAATTTTACTTTATTTATATTTAAAAATTAAAACAATTAATATATTTTCCCATTTAATTAGTCCCACCTACCATTTAATAAAGTTAAATAAAATTTAATTAATTCTTGCATGAATTAGGAAATAATTTTATTTATTGAAAATTGAAGTTGAAGGACATTCTTGGTACTTTCTGAAGTTCAAGGATGAATTGGTTCAAAAATAAAAATTGAGGGACCAATTCAGGTATTTAACCTAAAAAATATATTAGCCGCGTCAACATCACTATTCAATTAATCCTTAAATAAAAAAAGTTGAAAGTTGACATCCTTAAATAGAAAAAAGTTTAAAGTTGACATCCTTAAATAGAAAAAAGTTTAAAGTTGACATCTTTATTTAGAAACTGATAAAGTTAACATCCTTATTTAGAAAAAAATTGAAAGTTGATATCTTTATTTAGAAACTGTCAAAGTTAATATTCTTAAATAGAAAAAAATGCAAAGTTGGAATCCTTATTTGCACCTTTACTCATATAATTTCAGTTTCCTACCTTGGAAATTGGAATATTGCACACTGGATTAATACCGGACCATAATCAAACCGGTGGTTTCTGTACAGGTTAATTGGTTCTAATTAAGTTAAAATGTGGATTCATTCATTAATTAATGTGATTGTGTTTGATCAAGATATGGACACATCCACGTGAATTATTATTGGGATTCATAGGTTTTATCTTGATGACAACAAGTAATTAAAAGTGAATGTTCAAGTTGAAGAAGGGGAAACAACTCATAACATTAGCAAATAATGTTCTTTGATAAATGCGCTACTTGCACTTTGCTTCTGATTGGTCAGGTGTTTTTATTTTTTTCAATTGTGAAGAGTGTGCACTCAGCCAATTAATGGCTGAGTCCAAGTCCACTACTCGTGCTTTTGTCCCATTAAAAGAGAAAAAGAAAAGTCTTGTTAACATTTCTCTCCTAATTAAAAAGGAGAGAAAAGTGATGCGATACTAAATAAATACTAAATAAATTGATGCATGATGTGAAAAAAATTAATCTTAACAGTTTTTTTTTTTTTTTTTTAAAGTTTAACTATAATTATGAGCGACTCTAATAAAGGTACTGAAGATTTTGAGGCACATGGATGAATAATGATGGTAATTGGAGATCATCAATTTGTTATTTTAGTCAGAGTTATACATCTTTAATAGAAAGAAGGCAGATTCTGAACCAAATTAAGGTAGATGGGCCATGGATTGTCCAAACAATTGAGCAGATCATTCCTCATCAACAGATACATGCTTGTTTACTATTTAAGATTATGTTATGAAGCTTTATAAACAATTACATATCTACTTTCTCTAAATGAATAAACAATTGAGGGATGAAGATGTCCAATATTCCAATCCCATCGCATTTCCAAGAAGCTTCATAATCTCTTTTAGTTAGTCCCCACCATATCCCACCACCGAATACGCTCGTGCCAGTATTTAGTAATAGGAAGCAATCATGGATGCATCCCTTGACCATCCCGCACGAATGCCTTAACCTTCTCTCAATTTTTTTTGTTTCCTTTTACTAGTAGGAGAAATGTTTTTCGGTCTCTCAACATGGAAAATAACCATGCCCATCTACATTTTTCATTTTTCTTTTACATTCTTTTCAACAAAATACATGTATTGACATAAAAAAAAATGCCATTAATGATTAATCCCA